TAGCCAGGGGACATTCTTTCAAATTGTCAGAGGCTGTCCTGGGGCCACATCCCTTCTATGCTGCTGCTAGCTGTCCATGCTATTATTATTACTATTATTGTTATTATTATTATTCTAGTTTTAAATTTTATTACATTGTGTTGTGGTGTGTGTGTGTGTGTGTGTGTGTGTGTGTGTGTGTGTTTTTAATTATAGAGTTTCTTGACCAGACCTCTTTGGGTAGAACAGGCACATGCAGACAACTTTGGGGTGTAGCTTCTCTCCTTCCACCTTTACATAGGTTCTGGGATCAATCTCAGTCTATCAGGCTTGCATGAGAAGCAGTTCACTGACTGACCCTGGACTTCTACTTCAAATTTGTCTGACGGTAACATTGTAGATGCTGGACGATGAAAAGCTTAAGAAATATCTCTCCCTAAAGATCTTCCCCCAAACTCAAAACATATAGCAGACATGGAGAGGCGATTTTTAGATCATGTGTTTGTACTCAATAATCATTATCTTCATTTATAAAAAAAAAAGTGATGAAATACAGGGCTGACTAATTTGTCCAAAGCAGCTGGAAATGCTTAGCTGCCTCATGTCCAGAAGACTCTCTCTGCTGTGAGTACGTGAGCACGGCTTACTATTGAGCTGATTGTTCAGATGTGAAATCACTCACCTTTGAGATAGTGTAAGGAATGTTCCCTACACAGGAGGTGGTAAAGGTGGGCATATTTTCAAGTCTTAGTACTTATACACAGAGAGAGGACAAGGAAACAAAAAATGCAGGGAGAACTGCATTATTAGATTGTATCCCAGCAATTGGAAACATTTCCCAAGGGAAAAGAGCCATGGAGATGGAGACCAATAGTGTCCCAGATACTAAGGAGACCAGGTCCAGAGAACAGTCTCAAATCACAGTCAGTGATCGCTAACCCAGCATTTGTCACCTGCTCTAACTTCCCAGGCAAGGAACTTCCTGTGGCATCCTGGTTGTCAGACAAATGTCTTCAGGGCCCTTTCCTTCCCCTTTTCTTCTCCCTGTCCCCAGAGTCATCAGAGGCAGGGGAGAAAGTACCTTGAGGCAGAGATGGCTCAGAGGTCAAGCAGTGAGTTAGGACAGAGACCTTCGGGTGCACAAAGACCTTGTTCTTTCTCAAAACTATCTGCATGAATGATTCTTCTCAATTTCCCCAGACACCCCCGATCATAGGTATAATGATAATCTTTATAAAATATAAAACCAAACCAAACCCCTCTACACATACATGCTGAGTTCAGTGGAGACTAAATTGAAATTTAGGAGTGAATATTGTGAATAATATTGTAAGGATTACATTTCTGGGGAGTGTGAAAGAGCTGATGTGGCATTTTGTGAGTGTGTTTCATTTCTTTCAAAACAGGTGAAATTGACGTGTGTGGAGGGTGGTGGAGGGAGAGGCAGAAGGAAACACGAGAAAACCTCCAACTCCATTCAGTTTTTTAAGCTTGTGACTCAGTAAGGCTTGGTGGTAAAAATCACTAAATGGTTTGGTCTAGCAAAAGACAAGAACATTTTCTATTTGTGCCACTGTTAGAGGAACCAGGTATCTCTGAATATGGCACAACGAAAGAGGCCGGCCCTCTTTCATTTCCACCTGTCTACATCAGGCCCTGTAGATTGGATCTCCATCCTCTGCACTTCTCCACTCTATCTGCTAGTAACACCTTTGTCTGAGATTAGAGCAGATGTCCTACCAAGGTCAGCCCCAGAGCTCAGATTTGTGGTATAAGATAGTTTCCAATCTGTACATCACCTATGAGATCTTAAAAAGTTATTATTTGGGGGCTGGAGAGATGGCTCATTTGTTAAGAGCACTGGCCACTATTCAGAGGAACCGGGTTCAATCCCCAGCACCCACATGGCAGCTCATAACCATATCCCTCTCCAGTCAGTCCTAAGGGATCCAATACCCTTTCCTGGCCTCTTTGGGCATGGCTCACATGTGGTTTACAGACATACATACAAGCAAAACAGTCATACAATACAATAAACATAAACTAAAATATTAATATTCCTTTTACAAATTATTATTTTGCATGTGGGGGGTATGTGAAATGAGTGTGCATCTGGTGTCTTCCTCTAGTGTTCTCCAACTTATTTTTTTAAAAAAGACATTTATTTATGTGTGTGATGGCATATATGTATGTGTAACATGTACATGCAGGTGACTGAGTGGGGCAGGCCTCCAAACTTCCATTTGGTCTCTTTCCTTCTTTTTGTTAGCATCTTTATCCTTAAAGATCATTTTGCCCCAACATGAAGGGACTTCTTGTGGGAGGGCCAGCTCTGAGTTGTGGGTATTTGAACACGCCCCTCCCCCCAGCATGGATTTCTGCTCTGACACTCAGCAACACAAGTTTGCTCTTCTAGTGGTTTTGCTCTTTTGGCTCCATCTCTAGGCTCCATCCTGCCCATGTCAAAAATATCCATCTCCTACATAGTAGTGACCGTGCTTTATCAGAGCTGTTTTTAATGATGTTGCTCAAAATGG